TTTTTGAGGATGATGATATAATAGTAAACAGCCTCTAACAGCTATTGAGTTATGTGTACTGTTTTGTCTGTGTTTTACAGATGAGAAAACTGAGACTTTTTTTTTAAGATTTTATTTATTTATTTGACAGAGAAATCAAAAGTAGGCAGAGAGGCAGGCAGAGAGAAGGGGAAGCAGGCTCCCTGCTGAGCAGAGAGCCCGATGTGGGGCTCAATTCCAGTACCCTGAGATCATGACCTGAGCCAAAGACGGAGGCTTAACCCACTGAGCCACCCAGGCACTCCATGAGAATACTGAGTCTTTAAGATCAAGTACTTTCCCAAGGTCACATAGCTAGTATAAATACTAAAGACAATGTTGTAACCCTAGGACCCCGATTCCTAAGCCCAGTCTCTTAAAATCATACTGTCCTGCATATATGGATATTTGAGATATACATATACACACATAAACACACATAGGTGTGTATGTTTTGTTTGTACATTTATGTGTGTGTATTTTTACAAATCAGTATTGTATTGTGCCTTTATATCATATGTTAGTGGTAATTTATCAGTCTTGAATAAACAAAACTTAGTTTAATATAAGGATCTGTCACTATATGATTCATATTTATGTAAAACAAATCAATAACTCATTAACTTGATTTAAAAATCAATGAATCTGCATTAGTTTGGGGGGCTTAGGATGTCAGTGGTACAGGATGGATTTCCTTTTTTTTTTTTTTTAAGATTTTATGTATTTATTTGACAGACAGAGATCACAAATAGGCAGGGAGGCAGAGAGAAAGGGGGAAGCAGGCTCCATGCTGAGCAGAGAGCCTGATGCAGGGCTCGATCCCATGACCCTGAGACATGACCCGAGCTGAAGGCAGAGGCTTTAACCCACTGAGCCACCCAGGTGCCCCCAGGGTGGATTTCTTACCTGGTAGTGAGAGATGGTGCAACACAGAAAGCAGAATACCTCTTAAGTAGACACTTTAGAAATTCACTAATAATATAATAACTTATTGATAAATGCTATTCTAAGCACTTTATTTGTATAAACTTATTTAGTCCTCAAAGCAGCCCTACATTATTATATTATTATTATTATTATTGAATAACTTTTAGGTTTTTCACATAATAACCCTCTCAGATTTCCTTCTCGTCATACTCAACATCCTCAGTTCCATTACCCATAAGACATGATTTGAATTTCCCCTCTTCATCATGTTATACTTTGTTGTGCTCCCTTTTAAGAATCTGTACTCCAGATGTGGTATGACATTTGAAAAACAAAGTGAGAATATCTCCTCTAGTTCTGCATATTATAGTTTTATTATTGCAACTTAAGCCTACCTAAGCTTACTATACTAAAATAATAGTGCAGTTAAAAATCTCTGAGCCCTTTAAACACATCCTACAGTTGAGTCTTTTCTCTCTTAAGCTATTCTTATGTAGTTGTTTTGAAATCCACTTTGGAATCTTAATATTTATCCCTCTTAAATTTCTTCTTGTTAAATATCAGGTCTTTTGGATGCTTCATTTGTTAACCAATGATTTTGCTGTCTTTGGAAGCTTCATGTCACCTGTAGAGGTGAAGGGCATGCCCAAGTATCTTCATTTTGGCCTTACAGCTTACTCTAGAAGCCTTCCTCCAGGTAGACCTCATTCCGTTAAGTAGTATGCACTAGTGTTGCTGATTTAGCTAACTGAACTACCTTATATTTTTTAATTTTACTGTCAAGAAAATCATGAGAGTCATTGTAAAATTCTTTACAGACATCATGTGTATTTTCTTGATCTCCGACTCTTCTAAATACATCAAATAAAGAAACAAGATTAGTCTGTAACACATGTCTTATTATTAACTCCATCTATCCTAGTCCTAGAGGTCACTATATCCTCTTCTAGGTATTCACATATCAAACAGTTATTTTAAAATGTTATCTGAACTTAATATTAACCTTACCAAAATGTTTGTAGAATTTATGATCTTATTTTTGAAAACAGTCTCCAGTCTTGCGGTCCTGGCAGTGATTCAGGGATTTCATTTACAGATTCTTTTATGTATCTTGGAACATTATTACTTAGTCTACAAGATATGTGATCTTATAAAGTAGCTTAGGTGTCTTTTTAAACTTAGTCTTTAAAGACTATCTTTTAAAAGCAGTTTTAGATTCACAGCAGAATTGAGAGGAATGTACAGAGATTTCCCATATATACCCTGCCCCAGCATATGCGTACTATCCCCCATTATCAACATCCCCACCAAAGTGGACATTTGTTACCTACCTACACTGACACATCATTATCACCCAAAGTCCATAATTTACCTTAGGGAGCACTCTTGGTGTTGTACGTTCATGGATTTGGACAAATGTATAATGGCACATATCTATCATTATAGTATCACACAGAGTAATTTCACTGCCCTAAAAAATCCTACGTGCTTCACCTATTCATCCCTCCCTTCTTTCTAACCTCTAGCAGTCATTGATCTTTTTATCATCTCCATAGTTTTGCCCTTTCCAGAATGTCATATAATTGGAATTATGCAGTATGGGGCCCTTTCAGATTGGCTTCTTTCACTTGGCAATATGCATTTAGGTTTTCTTTTGTTTTTTTTTATGGCTTGATAGGAAGCATTTCTTTGGGCACTGAATAATATCCCATTGTTTGATGTACCACAGTTTATCCATTCACAAACTGAAGGACATCCTGGTTGTTTCCAAGTGTTAGCACTTATGAATAAAGCTGCCGTTAGCATACATGTACAGTTTTCGTGTGGACATAAGTTATCAGTTCATTTGAATAAACAACAAAGAGGGCAGTGGCTGGATTGTATGTTAAGAGTATGTTTAGTTTTATAAGAAGCCATCGAAGTGTCTTCTAAAGTAGCTGTACCATTTTGCATTCCCACAAGCCATAATGATAGTTCCTATTGCCCCGTATTCTCTTCAGGAATTCGTATCCACAGTGTTATGGATTTTGATCATTCTAATAGGTGTGAAGTAGAATCTCATTCTTGTTTTAATATGCAGTTCTCTCTAACATCTTTTCTTATGCTTCTTGCCATCTGTTTATCTTCTCTGGTTAGATGTTTTTTAATCAGGCTTGAATATACAAAACTTAGTTTAATATAAGTGTCTGTCACTATATGATTGCTATTTAATCAGATTGTTCTTTTTTTTAAAGATTTTATTTATTTAACAGAGAGAGACAGCTAGAGAGGGAACACAAGCAATGGGAGTGGGAGAGAGAGAAGCAGGCATCTTGTAGAGCAAGGAGCCCGACATGGGGCTCAATCCCAGAACCCTGGGATCATGACCTGAGCTGAAGGCAGACACTTAATGACTGAGCCACCCAGGTGCCCCAGGTTGTTCATTTTTATATTGTTGAATTTTGAGTAATTTTTTCTGAATAACAGTTCTTTTTCTAAAAATTCTTTATTTAGGGGCGCCTGGGTGGCTCAGTGGTTAAAGCCTCTGCCTTCGGCTCGGGTCGTGGTCCCAGGGTCCTGGGATCGAGCCTCACGTCGGGCTCTCTGCTCGGCGGGGAGCCTGCCTCCTCCTCCTCTCTCTATCTGCCTGCCTCTCTGCCTACTTGTGATCTGTCAAATAAATAAAAATCTTTAAAAAAAAATTCTTTATTTAAATTCGATTTAGGTTAACATATACTGTATTATTCATTTCAGAGGTAGAATTTAGTGATTCATCAGATGCATATAACACCCAGTGCTCATTACATCAACTTCCCTCCTTAAGGCCCATCACGCAATTACCCCTTCCCTTCAACTAGCTCCCCTTCAGCGACCCTCATTTTGTTTCCTAGAGTTCACCGTCTCTTATGGTTTGCCCCTCTATTTTCATATTATTTTATTTTTCATTCCCTTCCCCTATGTTCATCTGTTTTGTTTCTTAAATTCTGCATACAAGTGAAACCTCTGACTGACTTATTTTGCTTAGCATAATACCCTCTAGTTCCATCCACATCATTGCAAAGGACAAAATTTCATTCTTTTTGAGTACTGTTCCATTATATATATATATATATACCACATCTTCTGTATCCATTGAATAAGAGTTCTTTATCAGATGTGTCTTTTGAAAATATTTCCTCCCAAGGCATGTTTTGTCCTCTTGTTCTCTTGACATTGTCTTTCTCAGAGCAGAAGTTTTTTGTTTTAATGACATTTTTTTGGGGGGAGCCATTATTCAGCCTACCACAATTCCTGTTCTTTCCTTTTCTTCTTTTTTTCTCTCATCTCTTTTCTTCTATTTTTTATTCTTTTTCATCTTCAGATGTATGAGGTGACAAAAAGATTGGTTGGCTATAATCTGAAGTTATGTTGAAGAGTTGAATAGATAATGTCTAGATGAGTAAGTGAGCCTAACTGCCCTCATTATAGAGCATCAGATTGTGTTCACATGAATTTTTTGTTTGTCGTTGAATTTGTTGATAGTAATACTTTTGTTAAATTCAGCACCCTTTATTAAAGTAATTACTAAGTCTTTGGGTAAAGTGTGTGAGTTAATATGAAATTTCTTTCCAAGTAAAGCGTCTTTTGGCAGGCATTGATGTTATTATTGAGGAAATAGCCAAAGAATTTTTAGCATTCTTTCAAAACTCATTTTCCTTTAGGCAAAATTTTTTTCACATTTCCATTTTGTTTCAGTGGTAACTCAGACTTGAATTTAATGAAGGGAAACAGAAGAGTTGGTAGAGTTCCAGTCCAAAAGTCCATTGTCAGGGACATTTGTGGTTTGGGGCATATCACTTTTGTGGCCATTGGGCCTTTGGGCCTTTGTTTCCTTGTATCTATAAAATAGGAATTGAATTATATGATTGTTAATTATGTGATTGCTAAAAGTCTCGGTCTAGTATTTAGTGTAAAGTATTTAAAAACCAACAAACAGGCCAATAAACAACAAATTTCATTTATTTTGTACTATTTGAAAAGGGGAGTCATACAGGCAAGATTATTTTGAAGTAACTGTGCTTTTTCTTTTTCTGCAGATGGACCACACATCCCCGACCTACATGCTTGCTAACTTAACCCATTTGCATTCTGAACAACTTCTGCAGGGCTTGAATCTTCTTCGTCAACATCACGAGCTCTGTGACATCATTCTTCGTGTTGGTGATGTTAAAATCCATGCTCACAAAGTGGTACTTGCCAGCATCAGTCCATATTTCAAAGCTATGTTCACTGGAAACCTTTCTGAAAAAGAGAACAGTGAGGTTGAGTTTCAGTGCATTGATGAAACTGCTCTCCAGGCCATTGTGGAGTATGCCTATACAGGAACTGTTTTTATTTCACAGGACACAGTTGAATCTCTCCTTCCAGCAGCAAACCTACTCCAGATAAAACTTGTCCTGAAGGAATGTTGTGCATTTCTTGAAAGCCAGCTTGATCCTGGTAATTGTATCGGAATTTCTCGTTTTGCAGAGACATACGGTTGTCATGACCTTTATTTGGCAGCTACTAAATACATATGCCAGAATTTTGAAGCTGTTTGCCAGACTGAAGAGTTTTTTGAACTTACACATGCTGATTTGGATGAAATTGTTTCCAATGACTGTTTGAATGTAGCTACCGAAGAGACTGTTTTTTATGCACTTGAGTCTTGGATCAAGTACGATGTACAAGAACGTCAGAAATACTTAGCACAGCTACTTAATAGTGTGAGATTACCATTGCTGAGTGTTAAGTTTCTCACTAGACTTTATGAAGCAAATCATCTTATTCGTGATGATCGCACTTGTAAACATCTTTTGAATGAAGCCCTAAAGTACCACTTTATGCCTGAACATAGACTCTCTCATCAGACTGTCCTGATGACACGACCTCGCTGTGCTCCCAAAGTACTTTGTGCCGTAGGAGGAAAATCTGGACTATTTGCCTGTTTGGATAGGTAAATAGAAGGCTTTCTTAAAGGAGTGGTGCTAAAAGATTTTATACTTTTTAAGTGTGCTAATTTTCTCTATTTCTTAAATAATTTGATTTTATTATTTACTTTCTTTATTTACTTTTTTGTTTGTTTCTTTCTTTTATTCTTCCCAAAACACTTACCTGGTTGTTTTAATCACATTGTCATCCATTCCTTTCAACACTCTCAGTTATTAACAACCTTCCCCCAGGTCCCCCATGCACAAACTATGAATTTTTGTTACTTCTCTACCATTTTATGTCTTTTTTTCTTTTAATTTGTGAAACTGTTTACATTATTATTTGACCAGCTCAGTAGAGATTTATTATTGCTAACTATAAACAGAAGATACCAAAAAGGAGAGCTTGGAATCGTTGATGAGGGCAGACTGGGGACAGAAGTGGTTTGAATGAATACCATCAAGTAGAAGAATCACCAAAGAAATAAGAAAAAGTAGGATACTGAATACAAATCATGGACATACATATTTATTTTCTTCAGTATAAACATTTTTTAATGACAGTAGTAAAGAGTTCTCTCTTTTCTAATAATCTGCAGTAGGAGTTATCAGACTTTTTCTGTATAGAGCCAGATAGTAAATATTTTAGACTTTGTGGCCATATGGTTCTCTTATGACTACTCAGCTCTACCGTTGTAGTGTGACAGCAGCCATAGACAATATGTAAAAAAATGAGATGACTGGATTCCAACAAAACTTTATTTACAGAAGTCCCTAATGGACTGAATTTGGTTCTTAGCCATAGTTTGCCAGTCTCTGATTTGCAGCATTATACAAGTAACTTTTATATGTTGAAAAGATAGCTGGATGTTACCTTTGCTTTACCCTTGAATGGGAATGCTTCATGAAAACTTCCATGTTTGATAAGTTTATTTAATACTGTGATTTCTTTCTGGCAATTTTCAAAAATTTAGTAGATTGCTTTTACCCCCTCCAATGGTAGAAAGGTATTGATGTTCTAGCAGTGTCAATTGATATATCTGTATCTTTTAGAAAGTCTCAGTTACATTTTAATTGTCTAAATTAAACTAATTACATAGTCTGAACCTAGTATCATTGAGACCAGTCTATAGGTAGAATATTAGTTATGGTAACTACAAAAATTGATTGTTCTTATTTTTAAGGGCACTAATTATTGGCATAAAGTAAAGCATATTAGTAAAATGTCATGAGAAAAATTCCAAATGTGAATTTACATGGTAAAAATTCTTGACCAGTTGCCTCTTGGTCTCAAGTATTAAAAATAACATACATAAATTATTAAAAAGTTATAAGAACTGTTCATATGTTGAGATCCAGTAATCTTTCATCTAACATCTGTTATAAGGAAAAAAAAAAAAATTTTTAAGTAGACTCCATACCCAGCGTGGAACCCAGTTCTGGACTTGAACTCATGACCTTGAGATCAAGACTGTACTGAGATCAAAAGTCAGATGCTTAACTGACTGAACCACCCACTCCAGGAAAAAAAAAAAAATTTAACGTCAATTGCCGTTTATTATATTTATAACAAATGGCCACAAAGCCATTTATTGCAGTATTATTTATAACTATGGAAAAATTGGAATCAATCTAAGAAATTATTCAGTTTGACTCTATAAAAAATATTTAACACCTGTGCATCAGACACACTATGCTGGATAATGGGTCTTTAACAAATTTATAACTTAGTTAAGGAGGCAGATATTTAAATAGATAATTATAATATGTGGTATTAATGCAGTGATAAAGCTAATACCATGGAAGTATTAAGGAAAGGCATTTATCCCATTTGGGAGATTTAAGGAAGATATTGTTAACACCCAAGCTGAGTGTTGAAGGCTAAGCAAGACCCAAGCAAAAGGTCACAGGAAGTGCACAAAGACACAATGGAATGATACAGTATAGGATGTGCAGAAGAGTAAAAACTGTTTGGTATTCCAGAGTATAAAGTTCAAAGATCAAGGGCTCCTGTTTGGCTCGGTTGGTGGAACATGCGACTCTTGATCTCAGGGTTGTAAGTTTGAGCCCCATGTTGGGTATAGAGATTACATAAAATAAAATCTTAAGGGAAGAAAAGGGAAAAGCAAGTTAAAAATAAAATAAGGTTCAAAGATCTAAACAGTAAGGGGTAGGCTGTTATCAGTATGGGCCAAGTTAAAGGTATCCCGTGCCATGATGAAGAGGATTTTTCTTACGTGGGTCCAAAAACAATTTTAAGGAGGATAGTGAAATGATCACATTCATATATTAGATCATCCTTGGCTGCCTTATGGAGAAAGATTGAGGGGCCAGAATTAGTATCTGAGTCATTAGGAAAGAGACTATTATAAAAGTACAGGCCAGAGATTCTGAGGTCCAAAGAGGAAGTAGCAAAGATAGAGAAGGGGGTATTAATTTAAGAAATGTTTTAAGAGAGCAAATGGACAGGAATTAGTGAATGGACATGGGGGGATGGTGAGAGGGAAGAATCAAAAATGAGTTAGATTTCTTGGTTAGATACTGGATGAATCTTATATACCGTGAGAGAGAATATAGGAGGAGGAGCCATTTTAAAGAGGAAAGTAGTGTGTTCTGTTTTGGAAATACTGAGTTTGAAATGCCTATTAAATATCCGAGTGAAGGATGACTCACTAGCCGGAAATGATTGCAAAATCTCAACGAATAGATCAAAGCTGGGTATTTGGAACTTATTGGCATGTAATATCATTTGGAGGTATAAATTTAAAACCATGAAGTCTTCTGGACTTCTTGACTGGTTTAAATGTCCCTTCTTTCTACCCACTGAGAACATATAGAAAGGAAAAAAAGATTGGTTCATAAATGAACCTGTGGGGAACATTAATGTTCAAGAAGAAGGCTGTAAGAACAATCTTAGAAGTAGGAGAATCAAGAGAGAATAGTGTCATGAAAGCCAAGCAATTTAAATGTGTCAAGAAGGAAGAAGTGTGATTAACAATGTAAAATGCTAAGGAATGTTCCAGAAAGATAAAGATAGAAGAGTGGCTCTTGAATTTGGCTATATGGAGATCATTAATGACTTTTGGCGAAGTAATATCAGCAGAATTTTAGGAATGCTGTGGATATATTAGAGCAGATTGAGATGGGTATAAAAAGTAAGGAAATAAACTGTGAAGACTTCTAAGAATCTTGGCTGAGATGAGGAGAGAGGTAAGGCAAAATGATAGTTTTTGTTTATTTTGTTCTTGAAGAGAAGTTTTTGTTTATTTTGTTCTTGAAGAGAGAGAGACAGGAGTATGTTTATTATCAGATGCTGGTAAAGAAGAATAAGGTAAAGGTACAGGATAGAGGAATGGTCATTGATACAGCAAGATTTTAGAAGAAATTGTAAGGGGTTGGTATCAAAAGTAGAGGTAGAAGCATTTTTTTGTTTGTTTGTTTTTAAAGATTTTATTTACTTATTTGTCAGAGAGAAAGAATGCACAAGCACGGGGAACAGCAGGTAGAAGGAGAAGCAGGCTTCCTGCTGAGCAAGGAGCTAGAAGTGGGACTTGATCCCAAGACCCTGGGATCATGACCTGAGCCAAAGGCAGAATGCTTAACCAGTGGAGCCACCCAGGTGCCCCAAAGGTGGGAGGTTTTACATATGAGGAAGAGGGACTCTTTATGTCCCAAAACCAGAATATGAGGATAGGTTTGCTGGCGTGGGGAGGGGTGGGAGAAAGAGTTCAAGATAGATACTATCCAATAGCCTCACTTTTCCCTTTAGAAAAGGAAGGAGGTATGCAAAAGAGGGAAGTGGGGATTGGGTAGGTGGCTTAAGGAATCTCAGGAAGCTCTGAATATTGTTTCTGTTTACACATAGGGAGTCATAAGGATGACAGTACATTCGAAGTGATTTTGAATAATTATGCAAATACACTTAATGTTAAGTGGACTTTGAGCCACACCACACAGGACACCACTCACCTCAGTGCTCTGAGTCACAGGTCAAATTCCAAGAAAAATAATTATCCATTTGCCTTCAAAAACCATAAGGACTAGAACCTTTATATCTTGTATCTTGGTTTACCTAAATCACCTCTGAAAATCCATTATCATAGCTGAACTCTTATCATTGAGAGGTTTTTTTCTCATACCAATCAGTTCTCCATTTCTCCAACACTAAATGCATGTCCAGTAATCTGACAGTATCCAGAGTTAGCTCAGACCCCACTGCTTAAGGGCTTAGTCCCAGAAGACTATCCCGACTTAAGATGCTGTCCACAAATGGGGTACTCACATTACCTGCATTTCTGTCTAGAAGAGTGAAAGTTCAGGGGTTCCCACAATAGCCCCTGCTCAAGTTTGCTAGAATGACTCATAGGACTCAGGAAAGTGCTTTACCTACCAGTCTGTTACAAAGGATACAACTGAGGAACAATCAAATGGAAGAGCAGGGTGTGGGGAGGAAAGGGACAGAGCTTCCATGCCCTCTCTGGTATGCCACCCACTCCTAGCATCTCAGTGTGTTACCAGCCTAGAAGCTCTCTAAACCCCATTGTTTAGGGAGGGAGTTTTACGGCGATTTCATTGTGAGGGTATGATTGATTAAATCATTGGCCATTGGTGATTGAGCTCAACCTCAGACTGTTAATCACATTATTGCCACCTCTGGTTTCTGGCCCCCATGCTGAAGCTATCTAGGTGGCCACTTGTAGTCACTTCAGTAGCATAAACTGAAGTGTAATTGAAAAGAGATCATTATAAATAACATAAGATATTCCTATCACTCAGGAAATTTCCAAGAAGTTTAGGAGCTCTGTGCTAGGAACCTGGGACATAACCCAAATGTATTGTTTTTTTATTACACTGTTATTGTATGGTCCTATATATCATCTAATTTAACTTAATCACCCAGTCCTTTTTTTTTTTTTGACTCCTCAAATCTGTCTGCCATATCTTGTAGAATTTATATTCAATCATTTTAAAAAATCCCCTTTATTTTTAACTAGTTGGTCTAATGAAATATGACTGATGTTTAAAGATACTGTTTTTGCCAAATCCCTCTCAAACCTGTTTTATTTTGTTTTGTTTCTCCATACCTCATGTATCACAGGTCCTAAAGGTTGGTAAGTGTTTTCTTTGTTCCTCATATCTACTTCCTAGATTTTTTTTATCTCCCCTTTCTCCAAAATCTCAATTCATTCCAAGCACTTGCCTTCAGGCTGTATCATTTGATACACCTTCATGTTGCCAACATCTGCAACCCCTTTAGTAACTTTATTCACTGAAGATTTTTATAACTGGCTTACTGTCTTTCTCATCATTCTGTATAGAGTCATTCTTTCTGATTTCAACATCCCCATAGTATGATCCACAGTTATACAACAACTTTGCCTCTCTTCTTGATCTCACTTCTAACAGTCTTTTTTGCCTTACCTCAGGCACTATTCTCATGATTTATTCTCATGATTATACTACAATTTTGCCATTACCAGTGACTTCAAACTTCAGAAATCTTGGTTACATACATTCTGTTCTCTGACTACCATGTCCTTTCTTGTGAGCTTATTTATTTCAGTACATCTGCAGTCATTCTTTGTTCCCTTCAAGATTTTTAATGCTTTGGCCCTATATTCAGAAAACTTAACTGCTCACTGATTACTACATGTCCTCACTTTCACTCCTTACTCAGCTTAGATTCCAGGAACATCACTGTTATCATTCCATTGAATAAATATACTCATGCCTCCCTTGCCCTTCTTCAGTCATACTCTTCTACTTAGAATCCGTTCTCCACTTACGCCATGGCTGCACCTGAGCAGCAATATGTGGCTAGAGAAACGCACATACCCATCTTAAGTGATCTCATTTAAGACACCTAGCACTGTTGGCAACCCCTTCCTACTTCCCTAAGTAATTTACTCTCCACTTCCTTGGAGGACTGTTTTATACCTTTTCTTTCCATAAGGACATCCAACCCCGTCCAACCCTCACCTTTCAGCTCTCAGCTAATGGCTATCTCTTACTCTCTCAGAATATAGAAGCAAAACGAGGAGTACTATCTTGTCTTCTGATCTCCAAATCCACCAAGTTATTTGATATGAGACCAGTCCCTCCCTTTCTCTACTTACTAGCTTCCATTTCCTCTCCTCTGCACAAGGGCTCTGCTCTTGAATTTATCGCGTATCTCTCTTACATCACCTTCCCCCACTGTACTACATCATTGCCATTAGCATGCAAACATGTTCTGGTTTAGGCTCCCAGATTAAACCAATCTTCCCTGGAGGCTGTGGTCTTTCTCTGCTTATCCTTATATCTGTCTCATCTGTTTTAATCCTTAAAGTCCTTGGAATAGTCGATATCCACTGTTTTCCCTCATCTCCTATTCTTTCTTGAACCACTCCAGTCAAGATTTGTCCCCACCACCTCACTCAAACTGCTTTCATGAAGGTCAAATAATTCCCTGATGTATCATTTTCATCAGAACAAATTCACGTTTTAAAACAAGCAGTATAATAAAACTGATATAGGCACTCAGTAACTACTGAATGAATGAATGTTCTTTAATCATACTGGATAGAGAATATATATTTTATGTTATTGCACAACTGAGTTTGGAGACATTGAAATGAAGTATGAATACTTTCAAGAAACCATATATAGTTTGCATGCAAGGCATAAAGAAAAAAATCCAATTACTTATCAACCAGCTTAAAAAGTAAACAATACCTTTAAATTCCCTTGTGTCCCTCCTTGATGCATCTCCTTTCCTCCCCTAGAAGTGACCACTATTCTGAATTTTCTGCATATTATTTCTTTGCTTTTCATTGTAATTTTGCCTCATATTTATGTGCCCCAATATAGCATTAGGTTTTACATTTTTTTATATAAATACAGTAATGCTACATAGATTCTTCAGGGATGTGTTTTCTTACTGAACAATAAATGCGTTTGTGAATTTTATCTGTGAGATTGCATGAAGCAACAGTTCATTTAGTTTCATTGGTATATGGTATTGTAGTATATGGGTATAATACTTTCTTTTTACAATGAATATGTTAATTATAAGAATTAATTAAAGTGTTACACACATACAGAAGAATGCACAAATCCCAAGTGTACAGGTCAGTGAATTATCACAAAGTGAATATTAACAAACCAGTTAAGTAGTAGTACATGACCAACACCCAGAAACCACTCTGGAGTTCCCTCCCTACCAAAGGTAACCACTATCTTCATTTCTAATCCAGAGATAAGAAATGTGTTTGGACTTGGTATAAATAAACTATACAGAATGTATTCTTTTGATTTGGGCCTCTTTCCCTTGGCATTATAGGTGTAAGATTCATTTCTGTTAAAGGAAAAAGATTCATTCCTGTTACATGTAGCTGTAATTTATTTTCATTGCTGTATTCTCTGATATGCCACATTTTATTTATTTATTTTATAGTTGATGAACCTTGGAACTCTTTCCAGTTTTTGACTGTTACAAATAACGCTGTTGTGAACATCATGCATAAACACGTGTGCTTTTCCTTTAGATATATATCTAGGAATGGAATTGCTCAGTTTAGGGTGATATACCACATCTTATTTATCCATTCTCCTTTTGATGGGTGATTGTGCTGTGCTGCTATAAACATTTCTGTATGTATGTCCTGGTGCAAAACTGACTATAACGGGCATTCAGTAGTGTAGATACACATGAATGAAATTGCTGAATCAGAACATTTGTGTACCTTCAGTTTTACCAGATTATGTAAAATTGTTTTCCAGCGTAGTTTGTACCAGTTTACGCTCCCACCAATAGAGTATGCGTTTCTTGCTCACATTCTTGCCAACAGCTGTTACCATCTGACTTTAAATTTTTGCCAGTCTAGAAAGTATATTATGGCTTCTTGTGGTTTTAATTGGCATGTCACTGATTACTAAGGAGATTAAACATTTTTGTTTGGGGCCATTTTGATTTTTAAATTTTAATTTTTTCTGCTTATTCTTCAGTGTGGAGATGTACTTTCCTCAGAATGACTCTTGGATTGGTTTGGCACCCCTAAACATTCCTCGCTATGAATTTGGAATATGTGTTTTAGACCAAAAAGTGTATGTTATAGGTGGTATTGAAACTAACGTGCGTCCTGGCATCACTATCAGAAAACATGAAAATTCAGTAGAATGCTGGAATCCTGATACAAATACCTGGACTTCTCTTGAGAGAATGAATGAAAGCCGAAGTACCCTTGGAGTAGTAGTACTTGCAGGAGAACTTTATGCTTTAGGTGGTTATGATGGACAATCTTATTTACAATCTGTAGAGAAGTATATTCCTAAAATAAGAAAATGGCAACCTGTGGCACCAATGACTACAACAAGAAGCTGTTTTGCTGCAGCCATGTTGGATGGAATGATATATGCCATTGGTGGGTATGGTCCTGCCCACATGAACAGGTATTTAACTTAATGAAGTTGTATATGCTTGTAGATTTTTAAAGTCTCATTAACAATAATTCTTACACAACTGGTATGTGTGAATGAACTTCCCTTCTTAGTTTTTAAAGTAATATTGTTAGGCATTTGAAATTTAATCTGCTCTATGTGTATAATTGTAATTGTTTTATATGAGGATTTAATACATAGCTAAAAATAAGATTCCTCTTAACAAAATTTTAAATTCATTCATTTAATATAATTGGTTTAGATTTTAAAATTCAGAGATCTGATTATAAAATGAAGTTAGACAACTTTAGATTTTGGGTGGCGAATTTATATAAATATGGGTGTGTGTGTGTTTATAAATGGTCTGTCACTGCATTGCTTAGTAGACTAAAAAGTGAAAAATGTAATTCCTATATACTTATATATTATGCATCATAAACATAAAGCCTTACTTAAATATTCCTTTTTGGATTCTTATTCTATAATCATGCGTGTATCATTGTGTACCTGAGTTCTGCTGGAATGTGAATTTGAGGTTTCTGCATTTTGTAGCATTTTCTGAATAAAGGAGAAAAATATATGAGAAAAATAAAAACATAAAGTGATTGCTTATATGGAAAATTAATCATAATTCTGAGCCTTTGTTGAAATTGCTGTTCCAAAGATTTTCTCTAATAGTAACTAAAGTGATGTGTCTTTTATTGATTGTGAACATTTAATGGAAGATTATATTGTGATTTGTTAAGTGAGAAGGCAAGAGCACAATAGCATTTCATCTATAAATTTTTATTTCTCTATAAGCTAAAGTATTCCTCCTTTTTATTGCTCCTTAGTTGAGGGAAAAATATTTGGGGCAGAGCCATGCATTTTTATTCTTTGAAAATGTGCTGGCAGAAATTTATAAGAAAAAAATTGAGTATTTCTTTTGGGAGATAATGCTCTTGAAGTTTAAGTTCTTGCTAAAGTTTATCAACTCTTCTGGTCCAGTAATTTGGCTCTAATGGCTTTTATCCCAGTGTCCTTTCAGAAATATTTATAGTTTTGTCTATATTCTGGTCTAGTTTACAGTCTAGTCTCTGCTCTGAACTCCAGAATTATGGTACTGACTCTCAACTGCTTCAGGCTTTTTTGAGAAGTTAGGTTAGGACCAGAACAAGCTCAGCAAGCCTGCCTTTGTGCCCACTCGTGTCAAAACAGAGATATAAAGGCCCTCTGGGATTTTCTAGGGAAGCTTTTTTGGAAATTCTCATCTGCTTTGGATATCCATAATGCAGCTTGGAAATGCCAGGTGTTCTCTGGAATGCAGACTTGACTTAAACCCCTGAATTCTCCTAAATCACTCTGAGATTATTATGATTGGCCAGTTTGTGTTACGTAATCTGCAGTGTTTGCTTTACAGTAAACCACCACAACTTCTATAAGATAAAAAATTTCCTTTCCTTTACTTTTTTTCATCTTCCATTTTCCTTAGCTATGTAGAAGATCCTTACTGTCCTTGGAAAACATATTTAATTTGTGATTTTCAGAGTTCTTTCAGAACATGCATACTCATTTGACTTCATTCTTATATGAATCCTTTCAGGTTAAGTTATCCCCATTTTTTCAGGTGAGCAGAAGGGGCTTATCTAGGATTACACATACCCATAGTGTTAGGGCTAGGGTTCATTAAACTCTAAGTATACAGCATTAGTACTTGAACCCAGGTTTCCTGATTTCAGAAGCGTTATGCCCTTAATATACCCTGCTGCTTGTATGATATAACAGACTAGCATATGGGTATTATTGCTTGCAGTTTACTAAGGTAAGCTTTTATCTTGCGGTTTTACCAGCAAAATGTAAACATCTGGAACAAACTACTCTTGTTTTATATCTGTCTGTTGGAACTTCTAAAACTATGGTAGGTTTTAGTCTTTGGTAGGAAGAAATGGCACAAGGAATATGCAAATTAATTCTTTCTTTTGTGAATATTTGCAGTGTGGAGCGTTATGACCCAAGTAAGGACTCCTGGGAGATGGTTGCATCTATGGCAGATAAAAGGATTCACTTTGGTGTGGGTGTCATGCTAGGCTTTATTTTTGTGGTGGGTGGACATAATGGTGTCTCACATTTGTCAAGCATTGAAAGATATGACCCTCATCAGAATCAGTGGACTGTTTGTAGACCAATGAAAGAACCCAGAACAGGTAATAATAACTAAATAATATCTAAACATAGAGGATGATATTTCTTATAGTGATATTCTTGGAATAGTAGTACCATGGAATATAATAGAGTATTACTTGTCCAACAAAACAAAAAACTTTATTGTGCTACACTTGAGAGACAGCTGATTTGACAAAACTACACAGATTTCTATACTGTGATTTTAATATATCAGTGTGCATTTTATCATTTTCTTAAAGTTGGGAGAACACATTTTTAGAAATGGTGGGAATAGAATGTATCTTACAGAAGCTCTTCTGTCCATATAGCAAATGTCATCTTTTTATATGGTACACATTCACACAGAATCTGGATTGTTCTTTTTTTTTTTTTTTTGTACATCAGTCTGTAGTTTACCTTTCAAATACTCTCACATTCGGAGGGTGTTTGGAGATATAGGAAAGGTTGGATTTCAGGGTTCCCAGAGAAAAACAAAAACATCTTTGAAGAATAGAAATTATTACCTTTGAACCCAAACTCATAGCACATTATTTTAAGGGGAAGGTTTTAAGTTGATGGAAATGCTTTAGGGATATTTCTTGCATAAGAGGGAAAGTCGTAAAATAACAAGAATGTGAAAAAAACATTGGGTAGTCTTGTTCTCTTTAGAAGTGTGTATAACAGTATATACAGTACAATTTTTAAAAGCATAAGTTGTATGGTTCAAGATATGTTTCAGATTTTCAACATACTTAAAAACCTGATAAAGATGAATGATTTGTTGAAAGTTGAAAATATGAAAATAAACAAAAGTAAGCATATGGAAAGACATATACTACATTCTTGGTATTTTTCCGTGGTAGAGGAGAGGGAGAGTAGGATTGAGAAGGAGAGATGAAGGAAGACTTCAACTCTTGCTTTCATGTTAGGGGATTTTTTTCCCCCAGAAAGTATGTATGGTGATGTTGCTTGTTTAATTAACTGTAGATTATTGAAATGTATTTTAAGAAAACATTAAAATACAAATTTATTTTTAGGGAGAATTCAACTTCATGGTTAACATGTTTTTTCCTATTTTTACCCACTTTTCCTAGGGGTTGGTGCTGCAGTAGTTGATAACTACCTTTATGTAGTTGGTGGTCACTCAGGGTCTTCCTATCTGAATACCGTGCAGAAATATGACCCTATCTCAGATACGTGGCTGGATTCAGCTGGCATGATATACTGTCGCTGCAACTTCGGATTAACTGCACTTTGACAAGTGTGGACTGGTGGGAATCGTGTGGTGATGAACCTTGTGCCGCATGAAAGGATGCCCCATTTTCTGAAATCCAAAGCTACATTGCTTTCTTTTTAACTTGAAATGGCATGAAGACTCAAAGTTCTGTTGGGTACTTTGAATTGACAAGTAGCTTTGGTTGCTCTTGATTATACAGTGAATCAATAATCAAAAAAAAAAAAGGAAAGATCTTGCCAATTTAATTGTGCACTTTTCCCCCTAATACTGGCATAGAGTAGTTTTATGTTCATTAGTGTACATGTGGAGAAAATCTTGCTGCTTTAAAAAAAAATTAGCTCTCCTTCTTTCTTAATATATGCACCATGATTTACTACGATGAGAGATGCTTAGATGTGGGAGTGTATTGAAAGACTAGACAGAATGCTGATACTGTCTGTTGGATATAAATTCATATGCTTCATATTTTAAACAAAGGGCTGCTTTTTTTGAGGGGGGTACTTTTAAAGATTGTAAATTATATACCATAGTGAGTCACCTGGATATTCTTCCTACGAAATGGCTTTAGGGCTGGAGATGTAATAAGTTTGCAAAACAAATGCTTTTACTGTTACCATTTTTTGGAGGCTTATATTAAGAAGCCAGATATTTCCTGTTTATGCCTTTTTTATAGGGCAGGTTAATGCTGGATGAATTTAGTTACTTACCTGTGCTATGCTAAGCATGGATAGAAACTTAAGCATATCAGTTTCAGTTTTATTTTTTTCATAGTACAGTGGCTTCCCAGTGTTGATGTAAATATTTGACAAATGTTTAGTACCACCCTTAGTAATACTGATTTTTTCTACATATCCTTATAATAATTTTAGTTTTTTAAGACCCTTAGTTGCTTTTTCACAGTGTTCAGATATAAAAATGGTGCTAACTGTAGGATCTGTAACAAGGCTATAATAATGTTCTTTTGGATGTTCAGTATGAGATATGCATGACATGTTTTAATAGTATTTTTTTTTCATTTTTACTGGCATGGTTTGTGCTTATTAAAAATGTTAGTGATTATGCTAATTTTAACATTCAAAAATCATCTAAATGGCCCATGTTATACTTTTCATGGTTCTTGAGTAGTGATTTTTAAAAAGATGCATTTTTTATCTTCTTCTAGTGCTAGATATATGTCCTTTTTAAAGACAAATATATGCATTAAATATAAAGCACTAGGCAGTTATGCATTAATTTGTACACTTCTTAGGTAATTGGATATTTTAAAGTTACTGAGGAAAACTGGAACTCAATGTTTACTTGAGTAATGGTTCTAAATTTGGTTCTACTTTGACTAAAGAAACAAGCAAGACTGTTTGCTATAGCCAGTGACAGCTTATTTAAAATAAGTGGTCAGCTCATTTTGTTTTAGCATGTTTTAGAAAATATCTGTTAGTCTTGAATATATTACTTTGCATTTTATTAGGATATCGGTACTTATAATTTTTGGTACTGTAGTTGTTTAATTTTCTTTTCTTTGATTTTTTTTAAACCTGCTTATTATCTCTATAGTCTCCGCAAAACCAGTGTATATTTGTTTCCTAAGAAAAAATTCATACTGCATTCTTAAGTGCCATAATATTCCAAGCTATTGTTAAGAAGCCATTTGTAATTATAAAACATAGGTTTGTTCATTTAGCATCTATGTTACTATGTATAGCCTGGCAATTTGCAGTTTTTCTTGTTCTTCCATAAACTGCCAGTGTAGATTTAAAATATAGTACAAAACCATGTAAAGTCATCTTTAATCATGTAAGTAGTATGCTTTATGAATATTTGCACAGATTATAAAACCTTGCAAGTGATTTTTAGTCTCTTCCTAATAAGAACTCAACAGGAGCTACTAATAACATTGACAGGCTGAGTATTTTCTATGTTGCTTGTTTGAATAACATAATGATATATAGCAATAACTTTTTAATTGATTTGAATAAACCTATTGAATAGAAACAAGGTGCACTATTGTGATTGGGCTAGACTTTATTTAAAGAAAAGCAATTTAATCACTTCTCGGCCTTTTGGCTAAGATCAAGTGTAGTATCTTATTAGTTTAAAGGAAAGCAATTTAAAATAGATTTCATTACATACTTAATTTTAAGTGTTCAACTCGGTTTTTTTTCGTTTATGTCAAATTGTTAAATGCATTAATACTATTTTTAATCTTCTCTCCCCCAAAGATAAAGGAATTGGAAAGACTGTAAAAATCTATTTTAATTGTAAACAGATCTATACAATACATTTTAACAATGTTTTATTCATTTATCATTATCCCCACTATCAAATTGTTATAAAACATATAATCACTTGGTAAATTAGACCAAAGGCCTACATTGATCATTGTTTTGGAAAAATCTAAAAATCTAAACTTTATCCTGCTAAAGACTAAATGTGAAACATCTTGGGCAATAGTAGGAACCATATACCAGCGAATAAATTACAAAAACCTGTAAAAAGAAATGAAACCCCAAACTTTAGAAATACTAACTTTGGGTTTACTAAACCTACGGTACTATTCATAACAGCCAGAGGTATTGTAACCTGACAACTGATAACTTTACAATAGACCTTCTCATACAGATTTGTGAGAAGTTTCATCATGAATATTTTCTGACAAATTGTGTATTTAAAGTCACATGTTTCTTACATTAAAAAAACATCAAAATATTTGATTATAAATTCCCACCATTAAAGATACTAGAAATAATTTATATACTCAGGCAAAGGGGAGAAAGCTATTTAAGATTGTCCAGAAATATTTTGGAAAAAAGGTGACAGTGGAAATAGAAATTAATCTCATCACTTGGAAGATACTTGCCTTCCATAATTATGAAGACTTAATCTGGTAGGAATGTTTGGCTATTTAATGTTTGTTAAATATAGTAATAGAAGTTAGGTGATTTTTAATGTAGCCCAAAGGATGTTTATGTAAGTTCCATAGGTTATTGCTAACATTGTTTCAAATATGAATGAATATTAAACTATAGGAAGTGGTATTTAATGACAGGAAAATGGCATTAGTTTTTGAAAAATTATTTTGAGAGCTTGACAAATTATGGAGGGTCTACTTTGTATACATGATATTGTGCAAGATCCTGTCAGGGCTAGAAATATAAATAAGATACAAATCTTTTCATTCAAAGAGTAAAGTATGGTGAGGGGGCTCTGTACCCAAATAACCCAAAGTATGGTGAGGGGGCTCTGTACCCAAATAACTATGGTAAAGTTTGAATTTAATTCCTTATAGCCAATATCATCAAAAGTGATTAGAGACCTAATTTATGTATAGACATTTGTGTCCTTTACTGTCCAATTAGGTTTTACTGACATGAAAAAGAATCATAGTAAAAATATTTATAGAACTCCAAACTTCCTGGAATTGGTTAATATATATTCTATTAGAAAATTAAAATTATAGAAACTTTAAAAAATTACATACTATGTTATCAAGGCTCTGGCTAACATTGAAGGAAATATATGTACATATAATGCTTTGTTTGTTTTCAGTTTTGGTGTTGGATTTCTGGTATTGTCACCTAAGTGCTCATTTTCAGGAAAATCAGATTCTACAATAAATATACTGCTTAAAAGTTCAATAAACTTGTGATAACCTCTATAACCTCTGTAGTCTGAAAGCTAAGAAATTATAAGATGTCACATGTCAAGTTAACATCCAGTTCTACTTCTTAACCTTTTTTTTTCTTTGTAAAACAGCACTTTAATTAGACATGATTTAATTAAATACATTTATTCTGTGGCTGGATACATATTGGATTTTCACTTACAGTATATTGATTCAGTGTTGATACACATTGGAAAAGAGTGCAAAATATAGTAAGTTTTAAATACTATAGGTTTACAAGTTTTCTTATTGGTGTGAATATAGAGTCAATAAAAATCCAGTTTACATCTCTGTAGAGAGAAAAATTGTTTTCCATATGTCTTTTATATTATGCATATTTAACTAGAGATAATTTATTGTTAATTTTGTCAAGTTATCCTGTGTAAGTCCCGTTTATTTTAAAATACTAAGCAAAAAGTTCCAAGTTTGCCTTAAAATACAAGTGAAATTAAAGAACTGGATGATAATGCCTCTATTTTTGCCTTATGAATTGTGCTGTATCATAAACCAGAGATGGTTTTGATTTTAACAGGATTCTGAAATTTTGTAGATGTAGAGTACTAATATTTGTACTCTCTTGCAAAGAATGTGATCTAGTGGATTATGTTAATGTTTAAGTGTTTTGTAAATGTATTTTACCTCTGAATATGTATCTTTTTAGCATCAGGGTTTTATTTTTGTTTACATGGTAAAGTGGCATTTAACTTGTTGAAGGTTGTATTCTTTTGTCTTTTATTTTAAAAGTTCTTTGTGTGTACTATTGTGGTGATGCTCTGTAATGACTATGGTTAAATTTCATTTAATGTGAAATGTTTAAAATAAATTTGAGAAACATGCCTTTGTATGTTTCAAATGTTATGAACTGACCCAAGCTCACTTTGTCATTTTCAACTCTTAGATCCTTTTTGGTAGATAGGTAGTGGTCACAAATACTGAAGTAGGTATGGGAAAGCCAGTCTTTTACATCCTCATTACTAGGTTATAATGAAACGTGTTAGGCAAAACTCTGACATGTGTTCAGACACTCATTAAAGAAACATTCTTCAGCAAAGCCAACACAAAGGACTTCAGTTGGTAAGTTCAATGCAGTCCCAGCTTTCTGTCCTTTTAGATTCTTTAACTTGCCTTGTAAGAGGGGTTTACTTGGGGCAGACAAGGCAGCATTCCAGAGGATTCGCTTATGTTTCTGCCCAGTATCAGACAACCAGTAGTCCTAAAGGAAAGGGTGTAAACAAGGGATTAATCCCCAGTACCATCTTTGTGGAAGTTGTGAACTATAGGTCAGCATGGATTCCGATAACCTGCCCATGCAAGGATTGGAAATAAATTTAGACAATCCGTATATCTTGAAACTCTAATTTCACCAATAAGAGCAACTTTTTGATTTTATGTTAGTCTGTGAGCCACTGTTCCCCAATAATGTCCCTAATATTTAATATACTGAGCAAAACATTGGATGCTGATCAAATTATGGATAACAGAATCTGCCTATTGATAACATAAATCTGCCTTGAGTATGGGTTTCCTGATCATAATACCAGTTAACCATCCCTCAACTGCATTTTT